ATAAAAATGCAATAATTTTAGTTTTTTTTTTTTTTTGCATTTTTGTTCTATTTTTTCAAATTTTTTTTTGACATGCTTGGAAATATAAAAAAAAAATTATTTTTATTTTTCTTTTTTCACCTTTTTATTTTGGCAGATGCTTGTATGGATTATTCATGAAAATCCCATATAATTTCTTGTGCATTCTATTTTCCAAAACAGATAAAAAACAGATCCCCACGTGGTATGTCCAAAGCTGGCACGCAGAAGTAAAAGCATGTGGATTGACTCGGTGGTGTTGAAATGTAAATTTTTGACAACATTAATTTGTCATTCGAAAAACTATCTGTTAATGTGGACTGAAATTGAATGAACCACCACCTGAATTCCAAAATTAAATGCGTTAAAAATTAATTTTGATCTAAAATTTGTCAAAATTAATGTGCAACTGGTTTTGACTAGTCAAAGTAACTAGTCTGTTTTTTACTGCTTCGACCAGTTAATAAAATTGAAAAAAAAATTAATATAATTTATATTTTAAATTATTATATTGTATTTTTTTAATTTTTATAAAAATCAGTCCAAGTAAATCGACCAGTGGTTAGAATGGTTTTGACTAAACTAAAGTCCTCACCAATTAAGTGACCGATCTAATCTCGATAACATAAGTTTGAACGCAATACATCTTATATCATGGCTATGCAATCTATCACAACCATTTTACATGAACAATAAATACAAAATATTAACTATATCCATTAAAATGTATTATTATATTTATAAATAATAATAATGCAGGCATGTCTTCGTGTGTGGGGAGTTTCTACAAGTGACTTTTAGACACACATAGTCCCATTCTAGGTCACATAAGAAATATTAAGGATTTTTTTTAATAAAATTGAAATATGTAAGGATTGGATGGTCTTTGAGGGAAAAGACAAGGGCAACTAAATACTTGGAGCTACACCGAAGGCTCCAATCATTCATTCCAAAAGTCCAATTTACTGAAGTGGAAAATGAAATCTTAATGACTTGGACCTCTAACAAAACTGGCGTACTGTCTCACCTTCTTAGCCATCTTTCTTGACCCCATAAAAAAATTTATTAAAATAATAAATTAAACTAGGAAAATGCAAATTGAATAATAAGTTGAACTAAAAAAATGCATATTTAAATATCCATTCGAAATAATGCATATTTAAATAATGCAATAAGCAAGAAAAAAGCCTAATTTTTTTACTCATCCCATATCTTGTTCTGTGAAATAAGACACATGCCCTCCTCTACACCCTGTCCAGAGTCAAGGGGCTATTTCCAGTTAAAAAGGAAATAAATATAATATAGAAAAGGAAATAATGTTTTATATAGAATGTACCCATAGCTCCACACCACAAACAAATTAAAAAAATAAAAACGATGCATGCATTTCACTTGACCGTCCGTCTGTTAAGGAGCAGATAGATACTAAATATGAATATTTTAAGAAAAAAATATTTTATTGGTATTATTTTAATTTAATTTATTGATCACAAGAATCTCCTCAAGTGCATACAAGCAATATTTATTTCTGTCAAGAAGGTGAATAGTATTGTAATAATCTTAAAATTAAAAAAAAAAAAAAAAAAACTTTCAATAAGTGATGGTCCATATGAGCATGATGGTCTTTAGGAACCATCACTACTTTAAAAAACTTTTACCTTAAGCTTTTTGATGCCTTGTCACGTTTTTTAGTGGACGTGGTTTTCAGGTGTTAAAAGTGGTCAATTACGTAATATCTCATACACATGATGGAGGCGTTTTAAAGAAATTAATTAGGATGAAAGATAAGACGTCGCCAAACAACTTTTTTTTCGTTCTCCCTCTTACAAACATAGTGAGCTCCTCCCTCTAGCTGAATTTTTATCCGAAGCTCATTCTCAAATATTTTAGGTAAGTGACTTCATTATCTTGAAAAATAATCCGTTCTTTTTAAAAATGAAATCAAATAATTACTTCTGCTTATTATCATGAATTTTAGGCACGATAAATTTTATGCGTAAGCGACTTCAGTATTTTGAAAAATAATCTTTTTAATAAAATTGTGATATTTTATCGATGTTAGAAATTTTAAATGCTGTAAATTCTTATAAATAAATTTATTTATTTTTCTTGTCTATTGTTAGAGAATTTTAGATACTGTAAAATTATTAGAAAT